ACTGCATAACTCTACAAATATAATTACGGTGCGCTTTTATATTTTCCAGATACAACGGTGTTAATTGCGTTTCTAAATGAATAATATATGCAGGTGTATATCTGTCTAAATTTAATATTTGTTTAATAAAATAATACTGAACTTCTTCAACTTCTTTATATTCACAACCTCCCCACACCTGTGCACCATAACCTATAATTGATCTAACTGCAGCTTTGAAAACTTTAAGTTTTGAATTCAAATTTATTTTATTATACGTAAATAGCTTCTTTCATATAACATTTATACTGAAAATTTTGTCTAGAATCACCCCACAGAGTTAGACTATTAAGAAATGAGATACCCTACATACAATAGTTTAATAAACTATAACACTGAGGAATATACCTCTATTTTTATTTGTAAGAAGCTATAGTTGGATTATTTCGAAGAAGTAATACAGATGGAAAAATAATAAAAATTAAATGTTGATTTATTTTTGAGCTAAAAAGTACCGTTTCCCCTTTCATAACTTTGTTTTGTTTAATTCCTGACGGTGGCTAATAAAAAGCTAGGGCGTTAATAACCTGACCACATCAAAGTGGGGGTACCTCGACTTGGCCTTTTGACCCTGAGGTCGACCTAACAAAAGGTATATTGATCTCCCTTCCTCTTCACGTACTAACTTCCCCGTCCATAACTTCGCTTAAAAATAAAAAATGGCCTTATATATTTTCTATGTTATTTTAATAAAGCGTATTGACAGTAGTTTTGGACCCTAATTCCAAAAATGAATATATTAGTTTTTTTTTTATGAATTATTACAATATATGATGAAATATAAAAAGGATATAGAGATTTATAATAACGACTAAAAATACTGTGCTCACTTTTGCCAAATCGAAATTAATAATCAGACAAAAAATAAATACATACATATATCTATTCAAACCCATACCTTCAACAAACCCTTCGTCATACGTGCTACCTCATTTTGGAACTCCTTACCCATCTCTAAATTCAAACTTCCGCAAGCTTGCAAGAATTTTCAGCTTATGTAATTACGTTGTTTACCAGCAGTTAATTTATTTATTTAATTTTTCTCTCAGTATTTCCTGTATATATTTATTTTTTCTTAGTATGTTTGTATACTTAATAAAGTTAGAATCGGTAATAATCTGTCGGAAAAATTTGAGGTTCGCTCGGGTTTAAAACAAGGGGATTCCCTTTCGCCTGTCCTGTTCAATTTGGCATTAGAACATGCCATTAGGGAGGTAATGCGTACCGAGAAAGGGTTGGATCTGGGTGGGACAACATCCGTGCTGGGCTATGCGGATGATCTGGTACTGTTAAGCGAAGACGTTGAAACAATAAAACTAAATACGACAACGTTAATGAAAGCCGGTAAAAAACTAGGACTCGAAATAAACGTGGATAAAACAAAATATATGGTTAACTGCAAAAATGGCGATATCGATATAGATGGTAATATGTTTGAACAGGTAGATAAATTTAGGTATCTAGGCTCTACGATAACTAGAAACAACTAAATTGAAGAAGAGATTAAGGTTAGACTGAAGGCCGAAAATGCTTGTTATTTTTCTGTGACAAAACTACTCAGTTCGCGCCTCTTGTCCCGGAACTTAAAAATTAGAATGTGTAAGACAATTATCTTGCCTACAGTTCTTTATGAATGCGAAACTTGGCCGCTTACATTAAGGGATGAGCAGCGTCTTAAGGTTTTCAAAAATAAAGTATTGCGTAGAATATTCGGACCGAAGAAGGATGAGTTAACCGGAGAGTTCAGACGGTTACACAACGCCGAATTGCGTGAACTGTATCCGGGTAATATAATTGAGGTAATTTCATCGCGGCGAATCAAATGGGCTTGTAAAGTTGTTGGGCTTAGTAACGAGAGAATTCCTAACAGATTAATATTTGCTGTGCCGAATGGTAAGCGTCCGAGGGGTAGACCGAAGCGAAGGTGGGAAGATTGTATTAAAGCCGATCTGAAGGGACTGGGTTTGGACGGCGAACGGTGGAGGGAGGGGTGTAATAAGCGATTGGTGGTGTCGGCATCGAACCTTCGGGTTCGCTAAGCCTTTTATTATTATTATTATTAGTATGTTTGTATATATTTGTATTTTCCTTAGCACTTTTTTTATTTACATTTAAAAAAAAAAATTGTCTATGAAAATGTATTTGCGCCTGTCAACTTAGTGTTGACAATCAGCCAATGTGCTGGTGATATAGGAAATAATGAGATGACAGGCATTGGGAAGGAAAGTACTCAGCAGTACCTCTTCCCTAACTTGTTCCAATTACTTAAGTTGTTTAAGGAAGGAGATATCTCATCCAAAGCCTTTTTATTCTCCTCATGTTCTGAGGTTTGTCAGCTGTGGTCATGTCTCTTATTATGTCGGTTTAAATTAGTGTATAATCGTTGATAAAGGATCGTTATATATTGGTCAACTGTTGGAAGGTGGAGGTCAGTAGTTAGAGTTTTGTTAGTCACGTACGAAGGTGCTTTTGTTATGAGTCGCAATAATTTTGATTACAAGGTTTTGGTGGGCCACACTTTTTCCGATTTTGTAATAAAATAATTTTAGGATTCAGATGGGCAGGAAATAGGTATTTATGAGTTTTTTGTAATTCATTGAATTAATCAATATAATCAGAAAGCGTCTTATTTCTGAGAATTTTCGTAAATAAAAAAATTGTAGGATTCGAAGTTTTCGGCGGATGTTAAAAATTTGATGAAAGAGGTCTGTACCACGGACTGTAATATTTATATGACATTGAATAAATAATACAGTTTCATCTAGACAGAATCAAAGACACATAAATAACATAATTAATAACATTCATTTCAATTAATCATAATAATATACTCTTGTTCCAACGATGAATGTCCAGAATCCAGCGGGCCTTTCACCCCAAAAGTGAACCGAAGACATCGTCCAACTGTTCAATCCAACTCTTGCTTCGTCCCAGAACCTTTCTTCCAGCAGTGTGCTCCTGAAACCTGAAAAATAAAATAAAACTTACGAATTATTATGTAACATAAAAAAATATATTATCCATGACATAAACCTTTCAGGCTATGTAAGAATAAATAAATGTATTTTTATTTATTTTTTTAATAATTAAAAAATATTACAGCCTGCCGAAGTGAGGGACATTTATAATAGTGAATTCATTTTAGAGAAATAATTTAATAAAATTGTATTTTTACTTGATGAACCTAGCACAGTATAAATATTTATTTTTTTATGTACTATATATTCATTACATGTCTTATTCCAATAACTCTCAAATCTGACTTGTATTAGTATAGAAAACAATCACTTATTCAATACGAAGTAATATGCTCTTATCTATTTGAAATAACAAATATTTATTAAATAATTGTATCTAAAAATGATTTCTATTACTCAGAAGTAAACGAAAAATTCAAAAACATTTTTTTCTATTATATAAAAAAGTCGCTGTCATATTTTATTTTACATATACAAAGCGGGACGGACCGTAACGAAAAGAAATTAAAAATTTGTCCGAACTGTTTCGTTCCGTTTATTTTATGTTAATATGTTAATGTAACTTAAAATATTGTAAATACATAATGTAAATACAATTATACAATTTGAGCAACGAGTATTACAATCAAATGAACAATCGTATAATTTATAAAATGAGGTTTGGTTCGCCGTTAGGTGCTAAGGGGGTACCTCTCTAGTAAATAATAATATATATATTTTTTTATAAATTGGTTTATTATCTACTTTTTTAGAAAACAATTGTAATTTTTCTTAAATAATCATACTTTTTCCTGAAATATTAAAAATAATTATATATATAATATATATATATATATATATATATATATATAAATTATTATATTCATTGATTTATGATAATTTAAACATTATTACTGCAGAGGCATTAAGAAAAAAATGAGTACCACTAAACACAGTTGAGTAAATTTTTGAATTAGATTTATATTTTACCCCAGATACAGTTTAGTTATTCTAATAATTTCATAAACATTTTTTTTTTTTTTTTTTTGTCTATAACAAATATATTTGCGCCTGTCAAAATATTGTTGACAATCAGCAAATGTGATGACGATACAGGAAATAATGACATGACAGGCATGGGGAAGGAAAGTACTCAGCAGTACCTCTTCCCTAACTTGTTCCAATTACTTAGGTTGTCTAAGGAAGGAGATCCCTCATCCAACGCCTTTTACATTTTAAACATTTTAAATTAAAATATTAACTTATGTGATTAAATTAGATTTTTCTTTTTCAGCGCCGTAATGTTGATTAAATACATTCGTTTATATCCCGCAACACAATATAGTAGTGCGGGTTCATGAAACATCTACTCTTTAAATTCAGGCGCTTGTATCCGTGGTTGGTTGTTATGAAGTTTGTTGCTATATTTTTATTTATAGATATCTGCTGATTGTGCATTAAAAAAGATAAAAATAATAATAAAAAATAGAAAAGAAGAGATAAGCTTTCAGATAATTTTTAAAAATTCCTTCTTCACTGAGAAAAGGTATAACTAATTAAGATTTTTATACCCGTGTGCACTGATTTATAAGTCACTTATATTATTTTATCTTTTTTCCAATTCATCAATTATTTTTTATACACATTTATATAATAATTAATGTTAATTAAATTAAAAAGTATATAAAATGCAGGCAAAAAAATAATAATATTATATTTGATGAAAGAATTGAGGTAGGAAAGTACCAAACGGAACCCACTCCAAACCTATACCATTAGCTGTCACCCTGGAAGGTCCTTCATCCATCTTCTTTTCAGCCCTCTGCAAATATTGCTTTGGACATGAGCAGGGGCTATGTCATATGAGATTCTGTTATTAGTAGCTTCTTGTAGCGTGTTCGATAACTAAAAATGTTTGTAATTTCTTTTTGTTTGGTTGAATCTTGTTTTCTTAATTTTATGCTATGTGGGCTATGAATGCTTTAATAGATTTGAGTGTAGAAGTTGTCTAATGTTCAGAGTTTTTCTCTTCTTTTTTGTAAGGAATAAACATAATTTAAAATCAAAATCAAAATCCCACAAACTAATTGATGTGAATTTAAAATACTTTTCAAAATAAATTATACAAAATTAAAAGGAATCAAAAGGCAAATAAACATTTAAAAATAAATAAATATAAATACCATCGATGAAATAGTTAATTAATTTTTATAGCAATTTGTAACTTTTATTGATTTGTACATAATCAGGGTTTACCAATTGTAGGAATTGGGCTACTCTGTTTTAGTTATTTTGTTAGTTGGTTGTGTAGTAAAGGCGTAGAATCTGTTGGTCCTCCGCCATTAATTAAAAATTAATTAACGCTGTTAATTAAAATTATATATTATTATATCCTTTGGTTATAAATATTAAGAATTGGATAAAATTAAAAAAAATACACGTTAAGGTTAAAAGTTGTTTATGTTATTAAAGTTTAGTTATTTAAAGTTCGCACGTTAGGTAAAAAAGAAAAAGGAAAAAAAATGGTAGGAGGAAAAAAAGAGGTGGTGTGTGCTGCTTGTGAGGTTCAGATATTTTTTAAGATTCCTTCTTCGGGGAGAAAACATATGATTTTGCCTAGAATTTTTTCATCATATCCCAAAGCAGTCGATATATTTGCTGGTATTCCTCTTATGTTTAATTGTCTAATGTAAAAGGCACAACTCTCGAAGATATGGACCACTGTCATTCTCTCTCCACACTCCCGACAAATGGGAGGGTTTTCTTTCGTAATTAAGTGAATGTGCGTAAGCCTGCTATAACCTATTCTTAGTCGCGTAAGGAAAACTTCCTCTCTGCGTTTACTGTTACTGGAACTGATCTATGGCTTCACTTGCTAGTTATTTTGTACTAAGAAATAATTACATGTGAATTGGCTCATTTATCTACCTTGGTAACTCAAATAAGGAGATCTCTCACCCAGCTCCCTTTTATTCTCCTCGAATTCATATACTTGCAACTATAGCAATATCTTTCGTTAGTCTACTGTTATATCCGTATAAAATGATATAGAATTTTAGGTAAAGTTCTCTGTGTTCTGGTCCTCCGTTGGTTGTCTAACTGCCAATAATATGGTTTCACCTGTTAAGTTGCTTTTGTTGTTATTAACAATATTTTTATTCATTACTATTGCTTTTACAACATAATTATTTTAAAATACGGCGTTTAATAATAATAAAATAATAAATAATAATAATAAAACCAAGGCTATTCTCATCGGGTCCAGACATCTCATCAGCTCCCTTCCTTACTTTCCTCTACTTAACCTCAATAACCGCCCCATCCATTTTTTCCTACAGTCAAAAACCTAGGAGTAACCTTTGACCAGAACCTCTCCTGAAATAACCATATCTCCCAGATTACCCGAAAATCCATAACTGTCCTTAAACAACTCCTAAGATTCCGTGATTCTATTCCTCTAAAAATCAAACAGCTCCTTGTAACCTCTCTTATATTCCCCCACTTCGACTAAGGCTGTTTGGTGTATGGAGAGATATCCACCAGGCTGGAAATGAGACTGAAGAACCTCATCAAATGTTCCATAAGATACATCTTTGGGATCCCCAGGCATTCACATGTTTCATTCTGGTACACCGAGTTGAAGTGGCTTTATCCTACTTTCCGACGACAATTCTTACTTGGTGTTTTCCTTTTCCAAGTATTCAGAACCAAAAACCCTCCCTACATCTTGGAACTCCTTACACTATGTTCCTCCATTTTCTCAATACCAGGTGTCAATCTATAGATCTATGTATTCCCTCACATAAAACACAAATTGCCCCTTTTGGAACTCTCTTCCTACCTCCATACGTCAATACTCGTCCACAAATTCCTTCAAACAACTCCTGTTCCACCACCTACTCCACATTAAAACTTCCGCTAACATGTAAATTCTTGCATCTGTACACTGTTTAATTTCAATCTACTGCACAATCGCAATAACAATCAATAGTTAATTAGTTTGTATTTTTTTCATTACTTTAAGTCAGACTAAGACCCATAAATTGTACCTTTGTTATTATTCTTAGGGGACAGTAGTCCCAGAATAAAATTATTTTTTTATTTCAGTTCATTTCATTTATTTTAAATGTCTCTATTCAAACCATGTGTCGCAATTTATTAATTTGTTTTAGCTAAAAAAAGAAAAAGAATATTGTCATCTGGAGTCGCTCCTCGTTGTAAATTAAGTAAGTGGTATAAAGTTTCTGAGGACTTTTTTAAGATTTAGATGTTTTGTTCGAAATGGTGTATCGTTGTAGGAAAATTGTGTATTAAGGAAACTTGAAAAGGTTCTAGGACCGGTGTTTTATTTCTTTATCCTTCAGTGTTTGGCACGATTATAAGACATATCTCATTCACCTCTTTACAAGATAACAACCGAAAGAGTCTTATGTTTCGTTTTAAGGTGAAAGTGACGTCAATTTTACTAGCGATCTATCAAGGTTTTAAGTAGATATGTTAGTACTTCCTTATAGAATGTACATATCTATTGCTGTATTCGATTTATTTTTCAATAAATAATTTTTAAAATATTTTTTTTCTGTAGGCGTGTACGTTTATGAAAACAAATGCTATCTATTATTTGTAAATTACAAAAAAAAAAAACTCTTATGTTTATTCGACGTTTCATAATTAATCTGTATAACTTATTTTAATGTAGAAATACGTAAGGATCATATCAGCTATCAATTACAAGAATCTAAAACATAATTTAAAATTGAATTTTAATAAATGGCGGTTTATCGCATACTAATGCTTTTAGATGGAACAATAATCCGATAACAATGGAGAATGTGTTTTTGTTGTTCCAACAAAGTGAATTCATGGAAAATAAATCTTGATAAAATTTAAATCCATTTATATCCTTATAAGCCCCACATAAAAGGCGAATTTCATTCCAGGTTCTTGCCTTTCTTTAATAGATTTAAAAAGTTCTTTGATTCAATTGGATTAGTTATCTAATTACACT